GTCAAAAATATCAAATCGCACCCTCTTCATGTTCGTCTTTTCTAGCAGTTGTGTGGTGCGAACACCGAAGATTACCAAGTTCCTCTGTTGCATACATAGTTTAGATGGCTCTCCAAGGGCAATTGGTTCCGATATTTGGTTGCACTCGGGAGATCACATTTCTTTCTGAAAATGAGTATAAAAGAAAGCCGTTAACATCAAAGCCAGACGTGCTTTAGCTAGCTAATATCATTGAAAAATTCACCTTGTTAAACGAAATCCTTTAAGGCACGTTAAGTAATCATATCTCAAGAGAAATCATTAGATTTTTTCATAAAAAGCTGAATGTGTGCCTAAATATCGGACTTCGGGAATTTTTAAAGTCCCCGATACTTGCTATCATCACGCGGAATCTAAACATTGAAGACTAGTGTGTTTATGCCAGTCATTTACAACACTTTCGAGAAGAAATAAAAAACGGTTTTCATGACTTGAGTGGTATGAAATTCTAATTTGTATTTTAGATTCATTTGTTGTACAATGCTGCAATCTTGGGGTTAAAATCCACGGAAATCCTTAAAGTGCTTCAAAATGACACACTAGCAAGACCCAGTTTCAGCCAATATAAATTGGATTTGTGGATAAAGGTTGATTCCCTTAACATGTTGCCTAGGCTGTGGTAAATAGATGCATTGACCACCTTGGTTTTCATCTACATATTTTGTTGTATATAGATTCAACAGAGTGGTTGATGTAACAAAGAGTAGAAACAGCTGGGACATCACAACAAAAGAAGATCATTGACTCTGTCTGTAAAGTCTAGGGCTGGACCTAACTAAGCTCCCCAAGGACCTCGGGTTCAAGGCTTGCATTTATTTTTTGACAAACATATTGTTAGGAAGCTAGTTTACTACTCAATTCATAACGTCGTGTACAGCTGAATACGAACAATAATTAAATACAATGGTTAATATTACTGATAACATCAGTGTAATTACAGATAAGTAGTATTAATTGCTGTAAAGTGCGTTACCTTGAGGCTGTTAAAATTCAACAATGAGATTTATCGGGGAACAGCAGTAATCTCAGCATTGAAATTTCAACCATCATAACAAAATAATACTAGCATGATAACTGGAACTCACTGATTTATGTCTATTAGGCGTTGCGAATTGCTGGAATTGTGAGGATAAGGGATAAGGGCCGTAAGAAACGGACGTGTTCAAAAGGAGGACACGGTTTAATAAAGGTTGAGAATGCCTGGTCTAAACCACTGGTGAGTATGATTAACTTCTAGGATTCCAGACCAGCTTTAAAAGTTAGCTGATTATAATCCTTCTTCATGGCTACCATGTGCACTAGTTCATTCGGCCAGCGCTGTTGACTGTTGGTTTGTAGGGTTAATGCGCAACTTCGGGAAATCATGTGCCAAGCAGTTCTGCATGTGAAACTGGTACCTCAGTTACACACAAATTGGTATATACGGTGTACGTTGGCTCCGATTCATTTAGCTTCCTACGTTGTAGACACCTGCAAATTATAACTTCGGTTAATAAACGCAACTTGGATAGCATTGCGCGGCAGAGTTCACACCTTCCTTGGAAGTGAACACAGCAATCTCTACCTTGAGTGACAACTCGATATAGATCATTATCTTGACAGCCGTATGCAACAAGTACTGGGACATCTTTCGTGACTGTTTCTTCATAAATAAGCGAGGATAACCTTTCGCCATGACTGATGCTGTAACTAACACTATATCGTCCGTCTAAAAAACAGCCATTCAAATTCGTCCGACACGACTAACTGAAGTTTTCACAAGCCTGTCGCACTGATGTGAATCTGATAAAGTCCTGGCACTGTGCGTATCATGTTTGTCTGCAGACAGATGTTCTATTAAGTTCGTCATCCATGAGAATGATAGTGATGTCCAAGAATTTCAGACATGTCTGCTGTTCTACTTCGCATTTGACACGCTAGTTTACACTTGTGTTGTTTAACTGTGACATCAAAGGCTCAACCTGCTACTCGGAAGAACAAAAGACCAACATGTCATCCAAGTAAAGTTTATAGTACGGAAAGGGCTATTTTGTAGATATGCGTCTCGATGTCATCAGTATGAAGAAATCAGCAAGTACAGTTCAAGGTCGTTTGCTGATTACGATGGCGACGATTTGACGATATGGCGCGTTGTAAAAATTAAAGTCAGGATATTGGCGCACACAAGTTAGGATTCCTTTAGAACTTCAAATGGCATTGGCAACGAATAACCAGGTTGATCAGCTAGTTATCTTATGGAATCAACTGTGTGGTATAGCTCGACATTGGTGAACAGAGAGTTCACATCGACATCAGCCAGGTTGGTGCCATCCAAGTTGTCAATATGCTGAAGGAGTTACTAAGAATGCAGTGCTTGGTCAATAGTCGCAGCAGCGAAAGAATTTCACTAGCCTAACAGCCAGTTGATGATACTGCACATTCAATGTACATAGGATCGGCTGAATTGGCGTTCGGCTATTTTGCTTTTTTGGTGACCCACACAGCTGCAAAGTATTGGTGCAACTTGGTTTCAAACATTTATACATGACCCTAACATTCAAATGTTGAAGAAGCTCGTCAGTCGAACCATGCGGATTTCAACCTCGGTTAATTTCCCCTACTTCCTAAGTATTTTAAAGTTGCTGGTGTCATTGATTAGGACAACAATGCACTGAATGTACTCGACCTTGTGCATAACCACCACCAGAGATATTATACGGTGTCGTCACAACTAGGTTCTTAGCAAATATTGCACGTAAGGAGGAATATATCAGCTTGTAGGTACGCAAATTCCACTCATTTTACAGTGTTAACCTCAAGCGCGGTATCGGTCAATTTGTTTCTAAACCAAACAACATGGTCAGGACTGGCTCGTTGTGGCTCCTTGTATTGATCAAAAAGTTCCGAAACTGAGTTCTTATAAACAACGCGTCCAACCTTCTAGGAGAAACTGTTATCACGTCCATATGGCCATGCAAGCTGTCAAGTTGTGTGTCTAGTAAATTCAACACCTACATAGAGGATCACGAAAAAATTGGCCTCATCTCTTGACAGTTCGTTAGCAAACCTTTCGGCAGAGTATTTTTATTCCACCTTGTACGGTCGTGGGTTGATTTAAAAGTTAGTAAACACAAGCCGACAACGCAAAAATAGATCCTACATCACAAGTAGTAGACATGCCTGAATTTCTAGCGAACTCACAAGTTTAGACCTGTCTGTTGCCAGCTGAACAGATGCCTGGCGTTTGAGATTAAACATAGATGGCTTGAGTTTGTTTCTATGCGACAAAATGAGAACCGAGTTGGATTATCTAGCTAAAGAATACATTTCGAGAGATAGGATATTTCCCCAAAGCGAAAACATTTGTACACTTCAGACTGATTATAGGGTGAATCACTTTGCCAGTATCAGTGAGAATTGGTCATTTGAGAAATCTAAAGCGTTTAATTCCTTTCAGCATTATGAAACCTACGGTAGGAAGACGAAAGCTGATGTATACATGTTTTCAACACAGGCTAATTCAAGGTCCCATGCACAGTTTAGCATATATTATCTAATATCTAAACACGAATATCATTTTTACCCAAAATCATCGTACGCTTACAGTGGCAAACTTCCAAATGAACAGCTAACCTTACTCCATAGGGTTGCGCTACCTATGCGCTGATCATCTGATGTGGCAGAGGAGGCCAGTGGAAAATCATCGAGGTGTCTATACCTGGATAAGCAGAACGGAACTAATGGTTTGAGCTTGCTTGATGAAATTTCGTTGGTCAACATTCTAAGCGCGCACAATAGTGCTTTTGAAGTTGCGATAATATATATTTGTGCAACCAAAATTGCACTTCCATCTAACTACACCTATTTCGCAGTAAAATATGAAATGATGACACTTGGTTTTAGATTTTTGAGGAAGAAAATTTAAACAAAGCAAGGCTGATGAATTAACTTCGGATCATCACTTTCTTTGTAAACTAAAAAGTAGCACAACAATGGGTCACGTGCTTTTGGTGTAACAATAAGTCGGTTGTAGTTTGAAAACGAAAATGAAGGATTTTCTCAAGGATGAACTCTCCTACAATCATGGAAATTTTGATTAGAACTATCCTAAAAAAAATTTTGAAAACATATCGAACGGTATTGTTTTGCCTGATTTCTGCAGTTTAAAAGCGCAGTGCTAAGAGCAGGAAGTTGAGCTAATAAGGCAGAGTATTTACGGGAAATAAACTAACACGTTATCAAACTACCATATACAAACTCAAAGTTGAGCATAATATTGTCAGTGTATAGAAAATATGAATATCACATGCATCATTTCGGTGGCTGCTTTGCTTAACGTCCACATATGTAGGATATATGATACTTCGAATATTATGAAACAGAGCCACCTTTCACAGAAAAGGTGGCTAAGCGGTATTCACCGGTGAGCATTCAAAGTGACATGCGCTTCTTAGCTAAGCAACTTATATAGGTTGCCGACATACTATATGTGATTCAACAAGTACTCCGATCACGGAATGCAGGGTGATATAGCTGCTAGCCCTGACATTGGTTTTCCTGCCTGATACCCAGTGTATCGTGAATTTGTGTGAAAATGCTGTGAGCGATACATGTTATTCAAGTATCAAAATACGAAATCTGCCATTCGTAGTTATGCAACATGTATTTATTTGCAACAGTACATGCAGTCAGCCAACAGCACCTTGCTGCTGATATGATGTTTATAAAAAAGAGCTAGGCTGTCCACAGTAAACGACGTTCAGCTTTGCTTCTGTCAAATAGTTGCTACCTCGTCAATAAAACAGATTACGTGTGTAACGTTAGGTCAGATAAATCAAGTTCAAATAAAACAGTAAGCAAGGATATAGGTTTTTAGTTTTATTATTGACTAACGCTATAAGAATTATGATCTTTGATTTTGTCGTGAATATATTTTGTCCGTCATATAAATTGATCATTATTGCTCATATTTATCCTTCTAGTTCAAGTCACTCAACAGACTCATGTGGCACCTCTGACAGAAGTGAACAGAGCGAAAGTTTATTGGTCGTCTGCGGACAACATCACAATGCAAACTCTTCAGCTATCCACAATATATGGTAAGTCACTTAGTATTCCAATTGGTGAATACTATTGCACTTTTATATACACAGGAAATATTAGCGATATTTTTTAGAAGTACGATTTGCTAGTATCTTCAATATTTTTAGTTGGATGTGTTTTGATCTCCCGTAATTCCAATTTATCCACTCGTGGCGGCCTAAATGACTGGAGTCTTTCACTAACTGATAGCATAATGAGAGACAAGCACGTAACTGGCGGTAGCGTTCACTGAACATCCTGATTACCCTCTAGTCATTCTTTTCAAATTGGTACCTCACAAATCCTTGACACTTTTGTTACTCAAACGTACGAGCTATTGAGAACTGAGAGAGCACGTTTTGGCCAATATGCCAAGGCTGAATAGCTATTAGATATGGAGACGCAGATAGACATTGAGCATTATGGACAAGATGGTTGAACACAAACTCACGAGTGCTCTCCCTAAGTGGGCCAAATGCTGCTTACCGCAATTTGATGCGGACTTTGACTGCCTGGACAAGCGACCCGGTCTCGAACTAGCACATCGGGGCTACGTTCCTGTGAGCCTGTCTTCATATCATGCAACCGAAGCTTGTAGATGTAGGTACATCGATGGAGAATATGGACAAGGCTTCACTTGTTCACACTGAATGACAGGATGTTCCTCAAGGACCAAATCCACGCCTCATCGAGGTAGCGGTGAAGGACTTCGTTGTAGTCCAATCCCTTTATCGCTCATCAATGCATAATGCCTTCCGCTAAGAGTAAATGTTTAAAAGTGACAACTCTCACTAAATCACTAACACAACTAAAGCTCGTTAATATAATCGTCATATTTCAAGTCACACACATCCTCTTATAGTACCTACACCAGAACCTTATGAAGCGACAGATTGTTTGTCATTTTGAGCAAAATAAAGACACAAACTCCTTAGCTACTCATTCTGAGAGGTAAACTTGATAGTTTTAGATTTTATCATTTATGAGCGGAACAATGCTGATATAATCAGGTTCCTTTGATGTATGACTTCCTCAAAGCTTTGAGTTTGTTAATACGACTATGTTATAGGTTCTCGAGCTTTCATTTTATCTACTCTGGTAGCAATACGTTGTGAACATTATCACATTCACCCCAAATGATGTCGCTGTAACTCATTTATTTCAGCCGCATCGATCTTATTGAAACCTGGAATTATTGCTGGAATATGCCCACTGGTCACTGCGATAGTGGTACTGGCAGCTTGGTCGTGATCTCTCTTCAACCTTACTTTCCTTAATATGTTATGTCGAACTTTCTTTTTCGACAATTTAATTTAATTTACAATTAAACTGATAATAATAATACTGTTCAGGTTGCATCTCTGATATCACGTCCATGTTCTCTTTTCCTTGTAGTTCACCTCCCGCTCCCTAAATTACACTTACTACACTAAACGATTAATGCCTACATGGTGTGAGGATTTAGCAAGAAACTTACAATGATTCCATCGCAGGTAGATTAAACCTGTTTGGTTTCATCGCTAAGGACATTATCTTTGACAATTGAATAACATAACATTCCTTCGTACTTAAATAACCGTGCGTAACTCCTAATCCACCGTACCAATCTAACGGAACGGAATTAATAAAGTGAAAATACAAACTTAAATTTCGCTTAATTCATAGGAAACAACCACAGATTCAGACAGGTTCCAAATATTTTTCTATTTAGTAAATGCCTTTGTATTTCACTTTGTTGCTAACCGCAACCTGCAGGAGACAATACGGACATACTGACCATCGGCAATGGTTGCAAAATGATAAATAGACAGAAACATCTGGATTAAAATAGTCAACCTCGTTACGTTGAATGTTCCTAGGTGGCAAGCTAAACGGTAATTAGTTTGTTAGTTTCGCCACCAGAGCGAATTTCCACAACGATGGGCGGAACTTCATATGTCACGTTTAATTTTGAGCAGCATGTAGCCCACACGTATTAAATGGTTTGGCTAATCGCTTGATTGCCATTCCGGTACATAGTTTAATGTGTGGATCTTTGGAGTTACATCTACCATGCTGCAATTAGATAACTGACTGGTCGACATATCTGCCAATACTAATTGGTACACATTTTCGTAGACATTTTGACGCGTTACTTAGTAACTATCATTTCCAAATCGGGCCGAATCGTACATAATATTTTACTAGCGATAAAACATACTCTAACCATAGTAGACGCAGGTATTTTGTGAAATGTTTGTCGATGTAGTGGATAGGCAAAATCAACGACTCGCTATAACGTTATTGGCAAGTCAAAACTGAATTTAGCCTACACGAAAAGCAGGTAATCTGTCTCTGAGTATTACCGGATTTTATGATAAACCTCGAAGAGTACTATGTTATCCGTACACCAGAATATCTAACAGCACACCTAGAGATAGTCGAGAAAATTGTATGTGGTGGAAGAAGAGCGTGAAGCATTTCACCCCTATCAAGTACAGTTGTAATTACACCTCATAAAAGCACTTCCTGCTTTGGTCTAAAACCTCGGGTTATGCATTATGCTAAGCAAAAGAGCAATTTCAGCGTTTTCGTTCCAAAAAACCTTGTCCCATATAGTGGAATATTATGCTCAAACCTAGGTCTCCTGTAACACACGTTTGTCTAGTAGGAGTAAACCATTACTGTAAGGTTTATGTCAGACGGAAGCAAATGTGTTAAGCCGTGCCACCTGGATTGTGACACGCAGTCGGATTTGTGGTTTCGGTCGACTTTGTAATCTGTCTGTATTATCCCCATCACTGGGATCCTGCCCGAAGTGGAGGCTTTCGGTGTTGCTATCTGCTCGCGCAGCTCAATGGTCTGGCGATGATGTCAATTGCACCAACCACTCTGTGTCCAGTTCCACTCCCGATTCAGGATATATCTTCTATCTGAGTCCAAACCAGGACGAAACGCTTCATGGAATATAAGAATGGGAGAGAACGACACTGAAACCCTGCAAAATATGCTATGCTTTTCATTTATACAAACGGGACTGCGTATAGCGTATGCGAAAAGGATTTTTCCGACTATGTTACTTGCATTTCACCACCTAGATGTAACTTTTACCTTAGACATAACTTCGAATACATAGGGAGACCGCTGCACCCACTTTAAAGTTGGTGAGCGGGTAATCTCAATATTGACGACAGTTTTGGTGGCTTGGCTGAGCATCAGGTTTCGCCTACTCATGAGATTTCGTGAGAAGGCGAATGAGTCGTTCGGATGATCAAGCAGTTGTTCATAACGCAATCATGAGAAGGATGAATGATAAATGTCATTTTAAAGTACCAATCTAGTGGGAGCAAACGCGTTGGAACCGTATTGTGATCTAGACATTTCATTTGGTTTTATATGTGAGACAATGCAATATTTATCCTTTAGCATCATACCAGCATACAGCGCAATCAGTATTAATCACAACTCTCAAGGGTGGTTGGTGGTTTCTGAAGTAAATTCAGATAGAACAAGGCTTAACATCAACTAGCCGGATCAGATGTGGTGGCCATTTCATCTACATAACGGAGTAAGATGATGTGATTCGCTAGATCAAGGCACGGTGTAAGGCGACCAGCGCTGGAAAACCTGCCACTAATTAAGAGCCACAAAGTGTAGTGCAGGACAGCTTATTTTGCTAAACGGCTGTACCAAGCGCATGCTATTATCTCCATCCATAAAAATTACATTAATCGGTACCCAAGTAGACGACAGCAAGCGTTATTCAAAGTCAAATACGGGATATTCAGTCAGCATTTTCCAACTTTTATTCTCAATATGTGTTGATAAGTCATTAAAATACAAGGTGATATCCATTTCCAAAAGTTATCCGAACAGATATGATAGCATATGCGGACAATTAGTGCAATCAAGTTGTCTGTATGACAAAAAGGACTTAGTGTACTTATCCCATATACTATGGGCTCGTTAATAGTACTCAGGAAACCAACTGTCGATGACTCGTTTGGCGATCCAAAGTTAGTAGTTGCGTAGATGCAAATGCAGAAAGGTTGCTTAATATGTTATTTTCACAGACCGGCTGGAAACTGCGGCCCAATGCGTGCTAACACCTCATGATCGCGAATATAAAGGTATCGGATTTATTGCGTAGCCCAGTTTTTAAGCTTTGGCCGCTAAGCAGTTTTTGAGGACTCGTTCTTTGAATTCCTGTCGAGCTCCAGAAAAGCTTTTCGTACTTCCTTGCATTCGGTCGGGTGATATGGGTGCTATTGCAACCTCCTCTCCGCAGGACGATGCACCTAGAAAGAGAACTGTTATTGCGAGTTCTAACCAACTAGGCATCAGTCTTTTTTATATGCTCGCCACGGTTAACTAATTCCAGTGGACAGCCTGGCACCAAAGTTGTACAATTATCCCATTGGGCTGATACCGATCCCACGGAGAGTTGCACACAGTTCATGATTCTTGGACTGCAATGGTCATTGTCAGAGAACGAGATAATTTTCGTCAATGATTACATATGAAATATCTCCATAACTGACGCTTTGAAGTTGTAGCCTCATTCCTTGCGTTCGCATAACTGCGCTTTGTGCCCCGAAAAAGTATGAAACTCGGAGGCGCTCTTGGCAGGTGCGGAGGTTTGCCGTCGTAGGTTGAACGGTCGCAAGGGTTGGTTACCTTTAGATAGCTTTATCGCGGGAATTGGAGCTCTATGTGCACATTAAACGGTGCGTTAATGTTATGAGTTACTCACAGCAATAAAGTCGCTTTCCCAACAGCTTGATTTAGTTTTATTCGCTGATGTTAATATTCCGTGAATTTTGGTGCATATGGGTGGCGCTCTATTGGTCTTAACTTGTTGTGTTCAACCTGAAGATTGATCGAATCGCAAGTGGAATAGTAAAGAGTGCCAAGTAATATGCTTTTTATTGTGCCGGAGAGAGATACGGGAACATTAATGCAAACGAGAATTAATGCACAATGGTTCGACCGATGAATACTACTTTGAGGTTAGGTGTGGCGAGTGGCTAGACGTTGTATCAACTTGCCTTAACTATAATATATTCTAAAAAAATACACCAAATGACTTGATGGTGTGTTATGATAAATGCCATCCCAGTTACCACAATAGTAGCTTCAACAAATTCTTGGTGCCACGGTATTGAAAATGAGGTCCATAGCATCTGCGACTTGACGTGATCCAATTTATAATCATTTAATGAGGAACATTTCGGCGTTTACACACATACATGAAACCTTCTCGGATCTAAACAATGTGTCGGAGTTTGTGCACTTCCGAGTTGAAGTTCCTCTGACCAGTGAGTGGCCAGCAAACAATCGTTTGTCCGGCGACTTATAGACCAATGGTTCGCCATCGGATTCATCAGATTTGTAAGTAACCCAAATCTAACCTTCTATGTACAACAGAATGTATCGGCTAACACTTTTCATTATCAGATAGTATGGGCTCTTCAGACATACTGCTGGTCCACTGTTTCATTACAACACCCACCAAATATGGTACTATTGGAAATATACCGCTCGATGCATTCAGCAAAATCTTAGATGGAAGATGCAACAAAACCTGGGCTCGCTTTTCATAAAACGTGTTGTTATAACGCTGCGCCCGCAATCGACCGGTTGATTCACGCCTACTGCTAAATCTGCGCCCTTACGCCTGCTCCGTTTGACGCCTTGGCAAACCCGACACGAAGGAAGACAGAAGAAGACTCAGTAGACCAGAGTTGTATTGGGACATATAACGCTCATATTTGTATGTCGGTTTCACCAACCCTCCAAACATCACCAGGCGGATTTGGCTGTAAGCCCACGCTCCACACATGCTTCTCCGCTCCGTCTGTCCAGTTCAACCTCTTGCTCGGGCACTCTAGTCTTCGTCCGCCTACCCGGCGCATGGCAATTCACGTGATGTCTGACGCGCGTTTTCATCAGCTTCCGGTCAGGCCTTGACAACACGCCTGCTGTCTGATGCGCGATTTCCTCAGCTTTTGGCTTGGCCCTGGCAACACGCTCGCAGGGTCTTTCCCAAGCACGAGTTGTGGTAAACACGCGAGCGTTGGTAATCAGCTTTCTCGCCCAGCTGTCACCTCCCTTTCCGAATTGATTCAGGTTGCACACCCTTCGAACATGATTGCGTTCGTGGCTTTTCTCCCCGGGGATTGAATTAAAGCCGTTGTGGCCTTCTCCGCTTCCGAGCCGACCTGCATTGTACATCTGATTACTGCGGCATTTGTTTCGTCTCACCGGGTTGC